GATTTAGTTACACTAAATGATGTGGTTTTTGTAACACGAATTCCAAACCCTATTTGGTCCAACTTGAACTACTTTTTAAAACATACATCATTTGATTGAATTGGTACCTTTAAAAGAGAAAATTCTGGTACTTTAGTGTGACGAAAATGTACTTTATTTAAAATAAATTTATGAGAGTGTTCCATTTGTAATTCAAATTTCGATTACATTTTTTTTTTTTTTTTTTTAAATTCCTATAAGCAAAGCACTCAGGCGAATTATGGACATTCAAGCTGGAATTATGGACAAAACCGGTAGAAAAATACTCATTCTTACAACGTTTGTTAACATTTAGAGAACGGATGCGTATAAAATTTAATAACACCCGTTACCATTTTGGCAACTACAATTGTAATTCGACAACGCATCGTTGTCATTGCAACAACGCATTGTTGTCATTTTGATTACGCTTTGTGTCATTTCGGCAATGCATCGTTGTCATTTCTACAACGCAACGTTCTATTAACAACATAGTCACTTTGATAGCACATGGTCTTCACTCCGAAAAGATACCCCATATCGTAGTTAGCCGCCGCCAGTCGAAGATCGAATCTGCGTTTATGATTTGACAACGTCATTTATTATTTATCATCATTTTTGTTGATTTGATAACGTAGTATATTTTTTATGTTTTTGTTGTTTTGACAACTATCCATGCATATTTTGACAACGGATGATATTGAAACATTATAAACACTTTGTTGTCAATTTGGTAGCAAGCGTGTATAATTTAAAACGTATTTTTCGCCTCTGTGTAGTGTTGGGTCAATTATGAACCATTCCTCATGAAATTTACTACAACATTTTTGGTCCTTATAAAGCTTATTTATGTTCGAATTTTCAAGTCTATAATGAACGTTAAAAGGGGTTAAAATGCTAAAATTTTCTTACACGGTGATGTCATTGGAGGCAGGTATTTTCCAGAAATTATGATTACAAGTAATTAAAAAAGTTGTCATTGTAAATCGGATGAATAACCGTATACAGCTTCCGTAATCCAGACGATATGTAATAGTCATTGAAAAGTAAGTTGTGAGGTAAGTAATTACAATTGAAAGCTATTACCTAGTTTTTGCTGGGATATTATGTTAAAACAATTTGTACATCCTTAGGATTTATAAAAAATATAATTTTAGTTTACTTGATACAAAGGTTATCTCCCAGACTAGACAATCAACAACTGAAAAACTGATTTATCCATCCTAGGCTAACACCATATAAAATGTCAGATCACAAGCCAACCAAATTTAAAAAAAGTCGAAAACCAAGTTACACTTTTCTAAAGGATTGAGTTGCGCTGAACCGAATCTGCTTTCAGATTTCCTCTATCACATCTAAGGTTTAAGATGAGTCCTGAAATTTGGTCCTTTTTGAGACGTTGTGGGACAACAGCCTCAAGGTTGTGGGATATAAGATGAATCGGTATATTCTTGGTATTTATACCCTAAACTACTATAATGCACAGAGTATTATAATTTGAAAATATTCATTATATAGTTAAAATAAATATAGTTAAAATTTTCACAAAAAAATAGATTTTGAAAATTGATGAAAAATTTTGAAGTTATTAACAAAAAAGATTTTATGACAATAATTATTATTATTAAATTATTTATTGATATTAATATTAACATTACCTTGTGTCAAGGACGAGATAATACCACCGATTCTTCTTTATTCATAGTTTTATTTGATATTGTTTTATTTATAAAATTTTAAATTTTTTATTAAAAATCACTTATAATGTTTGCACTTGTTCGAAATTTGATTTTTCTTTATAGAAAATGTAAATTTACATTAATATTTTACGAATCATTTGTAAAACCACAGATGTAACACACACACACACACACACACAAATTGCGATACTTTTATTAGATTTCTTTTCAGCTTTTAATGAAATTAAAGCCTAATTTCTTTTTTTTAATTTTTGTTTTGCTCTATTTTTCTTTTATTTTTTACTTCAAAACATTATTTACACAAATTAATTTTACGATGAAGTAGCGGCAACAGCAGCTAGAGGATTAATGAAAGTGATTAATTGTAATTGTGTGGCAGTCGGATGCGGAAGGAATCAGAAACGGAATCACAAACAGAAACAGAGAGTTGGAGTTGATGTAGTTCTGGTCGGAGCAAAGAGTAGTTAAGTAAGTAATTCACTTCAATTTTTAATTTTTGAATTTTTTTGTGTATTTTATGCCACACGCACCCGTAGTATTCCCATTACACAACTAAACATTCGCACATACAGAGAGCGAGATAAGTAAAAACGATACGATGCGATGCAATGCGACAGGTTAAATGTGAATCCGCGATGTTAACGTTTCGATATACGATCTAAGATTTATCACAAAAAACATCATACACATACAATAACCATGACAGGAGCTAAATGCTTTTTTACTCTGCTTTCAGTATCTGTATGTTTGCATGGATGTTATTGAATGAATGGATAGATGGAAGGTTGGTTGGATGAAAAATGTATAATGTGTTGTTGTGCTTTTTCATCGTACAACAAAACACAACAACATAACCGACCAACCCTTAAAAATACAGCCCCACATACAAATATACACACACACACTCACAGACAATTTCTGTTTAACCCGCAATCAGGAATGAGCAAAGAGCAAGCAAAAGCAACAACAGCAAAGTTGTTGTCATCATCATCGTAAGCATCCAGCATCAAAGATACTGATTCATATTTATGTGAAGGTTGTGCTGTGTATATATGTATATTCGCAGCAGTATTAGTATACTCCCAAATTTACCACCATTTATGGTTCACAAACCATCCAAACAACCAACCACCCACTCGACTCACATCCAACCAAGGCACACACCCAAATACATACATTTATACCAAACGACAGACGACAATGACATCTAGAATATAAAAAGCAAAGAACTCATAAGCAGCATCAGCCGCCCTAAGAATCAACATTAAAGGAGGTTGTACAAAAACCAAATCATCATACCAAACTATCTCCAAATTTCAAATGGGAGACAAAACAGCACCACCCACCACTGGCAGCTCTTTAGAGATACACGCTCATACAAACACTTAAAACTGTTAGAGCTTTGTTAGCAGTAAAAACTTTGAAAATTTTACATTTTTAATTTAAGAAAATATTTATATTTCATATAAAATCGATATTTGTAACAACATTTTAAGAAACTCCAAGAGTACATATCAAAATTCGAGGAAAAACCATAAATTTGCAGATCAACCTAGCATAACCAAATCTAGAAGTTTCACTGGAAAAGTGAAACTACTTGGCCACTATATAACCAGTTTTACACTCCTCTTCCACGTTCAATATTCAGAAACTCACTTTCCTGAATCTAGTTCTTTAAAATGTTCAAATCTTGTGGCATAACAAAGTTCCTAAGATAATTAGATCTAATTTCGATGAATGAATGACAGTGTTCTAGCATTACTGTCCTCTCAGCATTTGTCTAAATTCGTTCATCTAATTTTGTAGAGTTATGCTCGTAAACATCATAACCTCGAACCCCATAGAATTTAAGTGATCCTACTCAGCGATCAGACCTCGTTGAACGTCGAACGGTTTTGTATTTATCAGGTTAACATCATCAAGTTCTCTTCTCTTTATAGCATGTACGTACATTCCCCCTTTAATTGCCGACAATCACCGCGTGACCAGAAAGCCATATGGTTGAGCTCAACACTGGAAGAGTATTCAGTAATGGACCTTTTACCGCCTAATACGGCGTTAGTTAGTTAGTTAGTTACTTAGTTAGTTAGTTAGTTAGTTAGTTAGTTAGTTAGTTAGTAGTTAGTTAGTTAGTTAGTTAGTTAGTAGTTAGTTAGTTAGTTAGTTAGTAGTTAGTTAGTTAGTTAGTTAGTTAGTTAGTTAGTTAGTTAGTTAGTTAGTTAGTTAGTTAGTTAGTTAGTTAGTTAGTTAGTTAGTTAGTTAGTTAGTTAGTTAGTTAGTTAGTTAGTTAGTTAGTTAGTTAGTTAGTTAGTTAGTTAGTTAGTTAGTAGTTAGTTAGTTAGTTAGTTAGTTAGTTAGTTAGTTAGTTAGTTAGTTAGTTAGTTAGTTAGTTAGTTAGTTAGTTAGTTAGTTAGTTAGTTAGTAGTTAGTTAGTTAGTAGTTAGTTAGTTAGTTAGTTAGTTAGTTAGTTAGTAGTTAGTTAGTTAGTTAGTTAGTTAGTTAGTTAGTTAGTTAGTTAGTTAGTAGTTAGTTAGTTAGTTAGTTAGTTAGTTAGTTAGTTAGTTAGTTAGTTAGTTAGTTAGTTAGTTAGTTAGTTAGTTAGTTAGTTAGTTAGTTAGTTAGTTAGTTAGTTAGTTAGTTAGTAGTTAGTTAGTTAGTTAGTTAGTTAGTAGTTAGTTAGTTAGTTAGTTAGTTAGTTAGTTAGTTAGTTAGTTAGTTAGTTAGTTAGTTAGTTAGTTAGTTAGTTAGTAGTTAGTTAGTAGTTAGTTAGTTAGTTAGTTAGTTAGTTAGTTAGTTAGTTAGTTAGTTAGTTAGTTAGTTAGTTAGTTAGTTAGTTAGTTAGTTAGTTAGTTAGTTAGTTAGTTAGTTAGTTAGTTAGTAGTTAGTTAGTTAGTTAGTTAGTAGTTAGTTAGTTAGTTAGTTAGTAGTTAGTTAGTTAGTTAGTTAGTTAGTTAGTTAGTTAGTTAGTTAGTTAGTTAGTTAGTTAGTTAGTTAGTTAGTAGTTAGTTAGTTAGTTAGTTAGTTAGTTAGTTAGTTAGTTAGTTAGTTAGTTAGTAGTTAGTAGTTAGTTAGTTAGTTAGTTAGTTAGTTAGTAGTTAGTTAGTTAGTTAGTTAGTTAGTTAGTTAGTTAGTTAGTTAGTTAGTTAGTTAGTTAGTTAGTTAGTAGTTAGTTAGTTAGTTAGTTAGTTAGTTAGTTAGTTAGTTAGTTAGTTAGTTAGTTAGTAGTTAGTTAGTTAGTTAGTTAGTTAGTTAGTTAGTTAGTTAGTTAGTTAGTTAGTTGTAGGATGTACACATCTAATCCTAGGCCTCTATCAGGCGTGTTGTGTTCTTCTTCTATCAGACTAGGCCACAACCGAGTAAAACCGATCATATTACATATATTAATTTTTTCCCAATCTGAAGGATGCAATATTTAAAATCACATCTCCACCGGTATTACGATCTTCTCAATTTTTTTAATGGAACTTCATTCCAGGATCCAAATCACATTTTAATATAATAAATTTGAAGAGATATTACTCTGATTTTATATTTTTTAAAAGTTTCTTGATTAGACCATTATTGACACTGGCCAACAAAGTGAAAAAAGTGTCCATTACTTAAATGTTCTGCTGTAAAAGATAAAATATTCTGGTACTTTTGCTTTGATTCGTCCTTCTTGATGTAGAGGATTGGGGTTTTTAGTGTTTGCTACGATTGCTACTGCTCCAGCTACATAAGCCAAGCCACAAAATACCAAAAACATTTTAAGATGACAAACACAACAACACAATATAACAATAAAAGCCACTTTACCAACTCATACTTATTCTCACACACTTAAAGATACATACTATTACATACTAGTACATTCTAGGACTCGAAGTAAAAAATCACCATAATGGCTTCCATATACTCTCTCTTGTATCGTCTTTTTCAAGTTCTGGATTCTCTTTTCTGCTTTAAAATATATTAGTATGTATTTGTTATTGTTGCTATTTTTGCTTTCTGCTGGTTGAGGTATACGGTTCATACATATTTCTATATATTTTATATTGTTGTGCATACATATAGATATTTTTTAAATGTCAGATACAATATATATTAGATACAAAACAACCTACATTTATTTGTTGTTCATATGTATGTATATTTGTATGTGTATCCTTTCAAGCAGCTATCCTTTAGTGTCCTTAGAAAGCAACATTTTCATTTTCTGTTAGTAGTTGTTACCTTTTGTATCATTCACATCATGACCGAGAGCTGATAATCGTGTGCTTTGACATTTTCCTTTTTGTTTCGTAATTGTTGTGTTGTTATTGATTACTTTATTGCTTCTACTTCTGCCTGTACTGCTGCTGCTCTTTTTTAATTCACTTTATTTGTTGTTATACTTTAAATTGTATTAAAATATCACATATATAGGAGCATTATCTTTCAGAAGATGATTAGAAAGTATACAAAGTATTTCAATTACAAATTCATTCTATTAATTTCTTAGCTATGTCCCCTCGATCAACTTTAATCGTAAAATTATTCCCAGTCCTTGAAGATAGCGGAGTCAATTTAGCCATATATGTATATATGTTGTTATGTATAAGTTGTTATCAGTTTTCAGATTACCCCAAATATCTACGAAATCTGAATATCCAATAAATCTATCAGACATGCTTTCGAGAAGTTTCCTGTTTATAATCAACAAAATTGGTCCATAAATAGCGGAGACATGTGCAAAATTCCGAAACAACTAATAAAAATATTACGTTTTTTCGCTTTCTTGATTAGTTTTTTCTGAGACTAAAGCAGCTCTTTCAACAAATTTTGTCAGATTATATATATATATATATATATATATATATATATATATATATATATATATATATATATACATATATATATAGCTCCCATACAAATTTACATACTCCCAGAGAATGGATTTATTATTAATAACTAGAATATCGGCATAGCCACAAACTTTTGCACATTAAATCAAATATTAATGTAAATGGTATTAACAACTAAAA